TATATATATATATATATATATATAAATGATGACAATAAAAAATCTACTGTAGATTTTATTTAACATTTCATCTTTTGACTATGAAATATAGTATACATAACTTATGGACAATATGTGCCTAAGTATGTCAGTCACAATAAATGACTTAAAGTGTAAATGCACTTCAAGGACAACAAATCTTGTATAGCGCCTCTCTTTTCCTAAACAAATTTGAAAATAACATTTCAGAGCTCAATGCAAAAAAGTCAGAGTTCTCACATCACTGACCTGCCAAGGGTAGTGTTTAAATACTCTAGTACAGCGTTTAATAATTTATTTTAATTATACGCTTATAAAAGTTATTGTTCAAAGTGTACCTTTATAATCAGTTTAATTCAACAATTTAATTGTTTTGTAAAAATATAATGACTTGATAGTTTTCAAACATTTTTTATAAGTTTGCATGATAATTATCTTTTAACTTTGTTTAAGGATTTGTGTAATTTTTAAAATCAAATAAAACTTTTAATACAAGGTGCATCATTGATATACAGTTTGCATTGCTAACTTATCTAATGTAACAACCGTGCATACTAAAGTGCAGGGACCTAGCGGTGCCTGAAAATGCCTCTGTTAGTCTTAAAAATTATCCTTTGGCCTCTGTTTTTGTTAATGAATGTAATAAAGACAGTGCAAAAACAGTTTATAAAAAAAACTATGCAGTTTCTTTAAGCTACTAGCTTAGATGATTTTTAAGCATTGTGCGGCAATACAGTTCACAACACAGTTATTAAATTTTATGGAGAGTTGATCAGTGGTGTCCAGAGGCTGGGTGTCACCCGGGGGCAGAGACCAGGTGACACCCTGCTGTGACGTTATCGTACATGTGCGTGACATTGCCGCATGTGCGCAATGATGTCATTGCGCATGCGCGGTGGTCTTATTGACGCCTGCTGGCGGCCATCTTGGTGATGGACGCCAGCAGAGAGAGGACGGAACATTCACCCGGCGGGATAAGGTATGCTGCCGGGTCCGCTCCTCCTGACACTGCCGGGCTCTCGGTCCGTGACCGAGTGCCCGACTTTTCATAGGGGGTGACACCAAAATGACTGTCAGTCATTTTGGAAGGACGGAACATTCACCCGGCGGGATAAGGTATGCTTGTGATGCCACTGGAGTAGATCTTGGCAAGCTGTCAGCCCTCTAATATAACCAACCAGTAAGTATTTCTAAACTGTTAGAAACAGACTGAAACCTGAGTCTAGAGTCTTTGTTGGGATCTTTAAGGATTAATAGCTTTACATTAAAAGCACCTAGAGAGGTCAGGGTGGCTTGTTTGAAAGCTCTTTTACTGCTTGTTAAGGATATGTAAATAATTTATTATCCATAATCTGGGTACAGGTGACTTTAAGTTTACTGAGCCTGTTAGAAGTACTCCCTGTGGACATGGACTACTGGTTGAGGAAAACCCTGCTAACAATTTGGTTTGCTCCAAGGCTGTGGCACATATGCTGGGGTCTACCATTGAGAATAAATCCCAGGCCTTCTCCATCCTTTATGTGTCCAAGACTGCCTTTATTCTCTTATCAGACCCAGAGCAGGCCAATAGAGTATGCCAGTGTGCCACATGTGTGCCACAATTTAAATGGGTTTAGGGGTACGGAGTTTTCTGAATGAGCAGTTTCATTACAATGTCTTTTTTTATTTAACTTGAATTAAATATATTTAGATAATGCCAAAATGCCAAATGTTTAAAAAAGATAAGTCCACCAGTATTTCAATCATAGCTGAATCATCAATGTTTCTGATATTTTGGGGATCTCCAAAAGCAAGAATTTCTCAGAATCACACACACACACACACACACAATATTTGAAGGTGGGTTGGTTTAACCCACCTAAATCTATGTAAAACCCAGTTATAAGGTTTAAGTGGATTACCTTTATCAGCTTTAATGAATATATGTATATTAAGCACTCATCATTACACAATAAACATCATGTTATTTATTTTTTTTAGAATCCAATGAATCAAAAGAAAAACATGATGACCTCTATGGAAGATTATTAAGTTCAGCCATGATTTCTCAAAGTTTGTCACAAACATCTGTAGCTGTAAAAGTAAATACATGCCAAACTCTGAAGTCCTCAGGTTTAAATAATCCAAGTAAAGAAAATTCCATTCCATCTCCTATTTCTGAGGAAAGATCAGAAAGTGCTGATAGTCCAAGATCTCCATCTTCTTCTGACCAGGAATCAGGTAATGAGAATGAGTGGACCAAAGATCATTGTGCCTCTAATCTTAGCATCCCTGTTGTGTCTATGAAGCACAGAGATCCCCAGGAGATTCTTAGAAAAGTTTTTCCAAACCATAAACAGAACATATTAGAAAGCATCCTGCATTTTTGCAAAGGAGATGTGGTTCAAGCCATAGAGATGGTTTTAAATGGAAAGGAACAAGTTGTGAAAGAAAATGAAATTCCATCAGGATCAGATGTCGACACTTTTACAAGAGACGGAACAATCAATATTACTGGGTTAGGTTTTGGTGCTTTTGGCTCCAAATCTGCCTTTTCCCCTTTGCATCCTAATCCATTGGCTGCTGGAAGTGATACAAATATCTTTCATTCTAGACTTGGCTTAAGTCCATTACACTTTACCTATTCCACAACTAACAGAGGACTTCCTGGGTTTATATCCCCTTACAGCTTTGTGCCATCTTTTCCTTTTCGTCCCAGCATGGATTACACATTCCCTGGAATGTTAAGGGATGCACCTTATTACCCACGCAAAGATGCAATGAATATCTCTGGACTTTACTCTAGATTGAACCAACAACATCATTAGTGTTACTTTTGTCCTAAACAACCCTGTTGCCTTATCTAATAAGTATATAGATTTTCTCTGTAATGTGTAGATGAATGTGTATTCTTAATGTTTCTATAGTATTTTTTTAACTAGAAAACTTTATTTCTTAAAGTAACAATATATTATTTTGGTAACTATTGTAATAAAAGCTGTTACATTTTACTCAGTTTTTGTTTATTTTACCTTTGTTATACTACCTACATATGCAGAAACAATACATGTTGAGGCATTTGAATTGATTATATAAATGAGAGTGAGTATTCACTTACCAAAGTGAAACTGTGTTCACTTCAAACATCCAATCACATGCAAAACAAAATTCTATATTTCAATACACCTGCAAATAATTGGGTATTAAAGGAGAACTATCGGGTAACTTTTTTTTCCATAGTTCTCTTTTGGGTCATGGGCAGACATATATTGTGTCCTCCCGTGACCCAAAACTCAGCATATAGCAGGCTATAGCCCACTATATGCTGAGAGCACCGCACCCGGGACAGATCCCGACAACACTGTTGAGATCCACCCAGCTGGCTGATTGACAGCTTGCTCTGCCTCTCTAGAGGCAGAGCAAGCTATGCCTGTCCCCTCCCCCATCCCTCCAGCCAGCGCTAGAGAATCAGAGAGGGGAGGGGGGAATCCCAGTGGGGAGCGGTGACTGACAGTCACCACTCTCCGCAGAGAGAGGATCGGGAAGTGAGCGGATCAGTTGTATGTTTTTGCTCACTTCCCAATCAATAGAGCCGACGTGTAACAGTTTCAATGTCCCACGTCAGCTCTAGCTATGGGGATGAGTGTAATTAACTCACCCCATAGTTATCCTTTAAACTTTTGCCATGTTAACATTCTCTGCTCCTTAAGTAAATCAACCAAGTTAATTATTTTCCTACTACAAGTGCACATTTAATATTTACCAGTAGAGTAGATTTGCTAAGTGAGCATATTTCATCTTTGTTATGAATTAACAATATACTGTGTTATGTGAGAGTGTTCACATGAAAGGAATTAGCACATATAAGGGGATGATATGTGAAAGACTGTGAAACTTTTACCAGGCTAGTTAACACCCAACAAATAGGAGTTTCCTATTGGCTAATTGGCTGGTCTGACCTAATCATTTGACCTTTGGTAACATGTAAGGGTATGCCCTTAAAAAAATTAAATTGAATTGTTTTAAAAATGTAAATGATAATCTGTAAATTTACACTTCAAAGAAAAGACCTGAATGTGGTTTGTCTCACAACATAAATAATGTCACTTTTTTATGTTTCCTGAAAAATCTAGTACAATTAAAGGAAAATTTTGTTTTCTATTTAAATTTTTAAAAGCGTTTTTTAAAAATGTAACATTTATAAACTCAGGTTTTATATAATTTTTATTTGTAAAATACATTTATTTCTTACAAATACACATGTAGAATAGAAAGATACAATTATGATACTTAAATTGCAAAGCATGTTGGCTTTTGTAATGTGAAAATCCAGCACTGCCTGCATTGGCTGTCATTATGTAGTGTGTGTGTTTGATCTCTCCTGCTTTTTTCTTCAAATATATTTCAGAACGGTAGATAGTTAAAGAACCTGTAGAGATTATGCAATGTTTAATATCTGTCTGCTTAAAAAAAGACTTAAAAAAATTAGTCATGGACATCATAAAATTAGATAAATTAATATTTGTAAAAAAAAAAACCCTGCGCCTACCTTAAAGGAGAATTTCAACATATCATGGACCATTCCACCTATCTACAGTTGGTCTGTCCCCCAGGTTTCATCACCTTTTATCCTCCAGCCTCATTGACTGTGTGTGATTGTTGGAGATTCTCCACTGATTACTACAGGGTAGGATTGAGGGAGGTGGGGGTTCACTGGACTGATAGAACATAAAGTGTACATATAAGCAAAACTTTTTTTAGTGCAGGGATAAAACCCCAGTGGGTTTAGTCAGATTATTATTTACTGTATATGTCCTACTTGGGAGACTTCCTTTTAGTCAACAAAGTGAGGAATTTCCTCTCCTAGACAGTTGACACCATAACAGGTATCCCAATCAAAGGATTTTCCCTCAAGTTATGGATTTACTATCACTTCCCATCTGTCTTTGCGACAATGGTAAAAATGTCACCTTCTTTCTCCATGACAACGACAACAATGTGACAAAGAAAGCAATAAAACTTGACAGAGGTTCTATTACTTTCCTAATCTATCTAAATCTAAAAAAAGATTTTTAAAAAAGATCTAGTGGCATAGGGATGCAAGGTGGGTGATATATTAATCCTACTCCCTAAAGCCTATACAGTCAACTTCTTCTTTAACTTGTTGTGCTTGCCTTACACATTACACATCTATCTGTCAGTCCTCCCTTTTATAGTATAATTATATATGCTAATGTATTTATAGTATAATCTGACTTTAGCAAGTACCATAGTGTGCCATTAAAGACTGCTGTTCGTAGATGTGCACAATAAAATGCATTGCTTATCTTCCAGTAATGTGTCATTCTTTAAATATCTGTGATTAGTAAGATTCCTTGTAGTATATTATTTGTACAGCATAACCTCTGAGTTCAGACTTAAGAGGATCAAAGAAATTTTGATATTTGGGTCACATTCTTTTTAGACAATGTTAGAAGAAAAAGAGAAGAAATTAAAGAAGCTTAGGTGCAGGAGTGGACCAAACAACTCAATGGGCATTAGCATATCTGAATAGTTAAAGCCCCTGTCATTTGTTTAGCAGTTTGTGTCCCATTGGGGAGATTTTCCTTCACTTCCGGTCTCAAAACACAATAGAACATAAAAGTAGATTGCTCCAAAGTAAGTGAAATCTTTTCTCAAACAGTTGTCACTGGAAGATATGCTCTATTCTTTTTCCAGTGGCAATTATAACATTTTAGAATTTCCCTAACTTTCAGTTCACAATAGTCACTAGGTCATATTTCACTCCAAAGATGAAGTTTGGGATACTATACCAATGTTTGGGGTACTATCACTTTATCAAGCTTTGGTGTATGTGACAAATTCTGACATAAATATGCTCTAGTTTTTTGGTTTATGCATGGTGTGCATTTTTATCTGTATTAATATTGCATTATAAAGAACTGCAAAGTTGCCTTGAGTGGGCCACTTGATTCTTGTAAATAGTAATATACAATATTCATAAGCAACTGCAATACAATGCAAGACAAAATACATTTAATTTTAAGTAATAAACATAAACAATTAGGATAATTTATGCAAAAGCAATAGACATATATTTATAAAGAATTTGCCAACACATTCACTGTACATTCCCTCAACATTTACCCATTTTATAAAGCACATTTTAATGTATTTGCTTGTTGAAAAAAACATTCTTTGAGATTTATTATCATCTGTTCTTGCAGAGAAAGGGGTGCTTACTATAAGGCCCGGTTCAAACCTGGGCGTTTTGTAGCGCGTTCCTACGCTCTGCAAAATGCTCAAACACCGAAATCCCATTATTTCCTATGGGTATGGTCACACCTGGGCGTATTACAGGCCGTATGAACGCACTACAAAAACGCCCTACGCCCAAAGAAGTACAGGAGCTTCTTTGGGGCGTTTTTGTCGCGTGTATCCATTGGGATACAGCCAGGTAACCCTCGGAAACATGCGTTTGGCACGCGGTTTTTTTACCGTGAATCGCAGTAAAAACGCGCGACAAACGAGCATATTCGATACGCCTAGGTGTGAACCCAGCCTAACATTCCTTGTCCATTTAACTGACCTGAACACATACGGAAATAACATGTTCTAGGTTAAAGATGTTGCATTAATTAATTTTATAATTTACAAAACTAATTTTTATATATTTTTGTTATATTCTATTATTGCTTTCAATGTATTTGTTTTTTCTTAATAAAACTGTGCTGAAAATGAATCACAACAAATTCCTGTTAACCCTGTGAACTCAGCTTTAGTAGACCAGATCTACATTGTGACATCCTGTTTCTTTGCCCTGTGGCTGTTATCCTCTATATGAAAGCATCAGACATGGACAGTTCTGCAGAAAAGCCAGTAATGGTCTCTCACAGCTGTGCTTGGCATGGTGGGATACATCTCTCTCTCCCTTCTCTATTTGTATAGCAATTGCTCTGCAACGCAATGGAAACCAAAAAATGATTACAAATATAAATATAGATTAAAAATAAATATATATACAGGTGAAACTCGAAAAATTAGAATATCGTGCAAAAGTTCATTTATTTCACTAATGCAACTTAAAAGGTGAAACTAATATATGAGATAGACTCATTACATGCAAAGCAAGATAATTCAAACCATGATTTGTCATAATTGTGATGAT